GCCCAGCCCAGCCCAGCCCAGCCATGCCTAGCTCTGCCCAGCTCTGCCCAGCTCTGCCCTGCCCTGCCCTGCCCTGCTTCCAGGGAGAACCACTGAGTCTCTATCAGCTCATGTGTCACACCTTCCCTCCCCACATCACTTCTTCAGACACTCTCCACAAAGGCCTGTCACCTCTCATCTCCTCAGACACTCTCCACACATGCCATGCCAAGTTCCAGAAGCACTCCCTTCCTCACTGTTCCGTAAGGGTTTGCGGGTGCATCAGAGCCACTGTATGTGGTCCTCAGAGAGCCTCACCTTAGTGCAAAGAGCACTGGTGGGTAAAGTGTGCTGCCAACCAGAAGGTGGGCAGCTGGAACCCTGCAGCCGCTCTGACTGAGAAGCATCAGGCCGCTTCCCTGGTGAGCCCAGCCTTGGAGACCCGGAAGAGCCCTGCTCTGTCCTGCAGGGCCGCTGTGAGGGGGCGTTGACTGGCTGCCGGCTGTGGATGTTGTCATGTGCCGTCAAGTCATCCGTGACTCTTAGCAACCCTGTGTACCACAGGTCTGGGCCCTGCTGTTCTCACTGACACCGACCACCTGCCCCATTACCCGAACCCCAGCTGTGCTTTATTGTTTAAGAAAGAAAGTGAGGCTTGCTGGCACATTGGTCACAGTATCTGACTGCTAACCTGAGGTTTGCTAGTTCATTCCCACCCAGCAGCTCTGCAAAGAAAGGCCCAGCGGTGCAGTAGTTAGTGCCAGGCTGCTAACTGCAACGTCAGCAGTTCAAACCCACAGGGCGCTGCACAGGAGAAGGACTTGGCTGTCTGTTTCTGGAAAGACTGTGGCCTTGAAATGTCTACAGCGCAGCTCTGCGCCGTCCTGAGGGGTCACCATGCAGCTCAGCTGACTCAGGATCAGAGGGTCTGGGGTGTGGTTAGGGGGTTGTTTCACAGTGAGAACAAACGGACATTCAAGGATAGAGACAGAGGACGGGCAGGATCAGGCAGTCTGGACTCGATGGCACTAACAGCGGCAAAGGGCACGGAGGAGTGGCCGTCAGTCTGACCTTCAGAGCATGTGAACTGCCCACACACGTCTTTGCCAAGAGATGCTTCACCCTGCTAGTTCTTCTCTGTGTAAAGACTTGTGTAAGGAGTAGGAGGGCGTTTAACGTGGAGGCCAGCCCAGAGCCACAGAGAGCGGCCCTGCAGGGGAGGCCCTGCGGGTGGACAGGAGGGCCCCTCTTCGACACCAGACTTCAGGAGAAGCTCAGAGACTTCTGTCCTTGGCAATAACTCAGACACATACTTTTTCTCTCTCTGGCACTTTGAAGGGTCTGGAGGCCCCATGCTGAGACCCAGGAGCCTGGGTCTTGGGCTCTCAAACTTACTCACGTGACCACGAAGCATCCACTTGATAATGATCATGACAGCCACCCCTCCGAATGCACTCTGACTCAGCTCGGAAGGAGCGCACCTGGAGGAGACACCGCGCAGGCCACCCGGCCTCACAGGCGTCATGTTGGAGCCCACTGCTGCAGTCACTGCATCAGGCCATCCCCTCAGGGCCTTCCTCTCGTGCACTCACCCTCCACCGAGCATGACGACCCTCCCCAAGGACTGGCCCCTCCTGACAGCATGTCCAAAGCACGGGAGAGCAAGTCTGTCCGTCTGTGCTCCCAAGAAGCACTCTGGCTGCACTCCTCCCGAGTGGTTACTGGTCAGCTGGGACGCTGCCATCTGAACATTGCTAGTGTGCACCTTGAGTTCTGAAAAAAACAAATCTGAAGAACAAATTCAAACCTCAAGTTGCTATAATCAAGGATGCTTTAGGCAGAATATTAAATGATCCAGGAAGCATTAAAAGAAGCTGGAAGGAATACACTGAGTCACTGTATTGGAAGGAATTGGCAGAGAGAGAAAAATTTCATGAAACAACATATGAGCAAGAGCCTATGGTGACAAAGGAA